TCTGGGACTCGAACCCAGTACCAACAAGAGATTGATCAATTGCAGTCCTAAATAACAGTGGGAAGATACAAGTAAACAACATAAAGTGAATATAACAACACCTCACTGCACAAGAAGGTGGTTATTAGTTCTCAGTAGCTAAGTAGATAACGCGATGGCGTTTGGAGAGAACGGCACCAGGTTCGAGTCCCGGAGTCAGCATCAAGCTGACGAGTCCCAAATACGAAGAAACGCCCATCCCATATATATTATAGAATAACATTGAAGCTTAAGATCTGCACTACTTCAATCCAGTTTTGAACCATATAAGAATAAGAAAATAGTGTAATGCCAGTTATGTCAAGCCCATATACCTTATTCTAGCTTTCGGACAGCCCATTCTATTCTATCAATCTTGACTGTTTTTATATGAGCACGTAGGTGTGTATACATTTCTTATCCCATTACTCATCACATGTCTGTAACTTACTTTTGTGTAACTATAATTATTAATTAAGGTATGGTTAAATGGGAGTTGGCTTACCCGCCATCTCCACTGCGCGTCATTTTGCTTTGTTCTATTACATTCACTTTATATACAAAATATATATGTATTCAAAAGTCCATATTCTCGTTATATGACTTATCTAAATCCGTTATTGACTAACGCGATTTAAGTCCATGATTATATATACAACAAGGATAGGCGATAACAAACATTCATTACGATCCGAATTGGACTCAGATACCCGGGCTACTAAAATGGAAGTAGTTAATAAAATTGAAGTATCTTTTTTTATTAGTTATCACTTATTTTTGACAATCTTTCAATAAAGCAATTTGTTAAAACATGTTTATCGGTAGGAGTTAATCAATAAATGTTCCATACAATTTCTTATTTAATTTTAAACTCCCTTTTTTTATCACTATGTACATAATTTAAAACTTGTAAACGCCTTTACATGTATATAGATATATATTTGTGGTTATGTATTTGTGTGTGTGTGTCAAATTATCCCATATATATGAAATCATTTTAGTCCTTAAAGATTACTTTTAACAAAAAAAACATTAATTCACTTGGTATTGTTTTACGTGAATCTTCCTATTGATGTTTTTAGGACTGAAATTGATGGGAAGACACAAGCCAAATAATACCAAGTGAATTAAACTTCACCCCATTGCACAAGCAAGTGGCTATCAGGACTCAGTAGCTAAGTGGATAACGCGATGGCGTTTGAAGCAAACGGTACTGAGTCTGAGTCCCAGAGTGAACATCAACTCGGAGATGCTAGGACATCCATATGATGAGTCCCAAACAGGACGAAACGTGCGTCAAATTGGATTCCACTGCTAGCCACTATCCATCTTTGCTTAAAAAAAAACATTGTTTACCCTTGAGAAGAAATTCAATATTATTCCATATACCACCTTAAATTAAAGCCTGTTAATAATGATTAAGTTTACTTTATCCATATATCAATCAAATGTAAACTGACATATTTATTATACTACAATGATTTTATGATTTATATCTAAGATGAGAAATATGAGTGATAAGTGAATTTGATTTTTCTTTTTCTTTTTCTTAATTCATACTTGTTTAATTTTACATTGGATATATGTATAAATGTACGTAGAAATTGTCACACCTTAGCAACGTTATTAAATTTAGAAATGTGAAAAATTGAATATGGAATAAGGTTATACGGAGTTGATTAATGATAAAATTAAAGTAGAATTAATAAAGAAACCTTAGTATCAAAAGGGATTGTGTGTGGATATTATAGTAATTTTAATCGTTGAGATCATGAATCAATTGAAGCTAGATAACCATGAAAAACCTGGACGCATTGAACGACTGTTTCATCCTATTGTGGGACACCTCAGCAGTGCGCATACATGATCCTGACTCGCAAGATTCCAACCCAGGATCTATCAGTCTCGCGAGCGAACGCTCAACCTCTAGACCACTGAGATAGCTGGCATCCAACGGTGTTACTGTTTAACTTCAACCAATCTACGAAATTGAGCGACACATCCAACATTGTCTTCAGTGAATTACTATCTCACAGTAGACACAGTTGAACTCCACTGGTCACTGCTTCTCACTAGAACTCCAGGAAATAATTCTTGGAGACAGTCACTAGTGATCATATGATGGCTATAATCAGACACGGGTTTTGTGGAGATAGTAATAATTTAACAAATGAATTCATGAGTCAATTCTATATTATTATATATAATCTATATATCCTTTTCAACCACCTAACTTACTATACATGAAATATCTTATAAAATCTGAATAATAAAAGATCTTTCTTCAGATATAAAGAACAATGAATAACCTTATAATACTTCAGATCGAATGATAACTTAACAACTCATAGAAAGTACATTGATAGATTAAAGCTGCTATTTATATTGTAAAATATTTCATTCATTCATTTATTTAAATAATCAAAGGTTAAACTACATACACTTCTTTACAATGAAAGCTTATCCATAAAAAAAAACTTTGTATTGAATATATACATATTCGAAATGTCAAGTAGAATAATAAATAAATAAATGAAAAACACTATAGTAATATGATAATAACAATCAAATCAATGTCTTAATTTTGAGAAAAATAATGGTAAGACTATTAATTTATGGACGACGTTTGAGCGACGTTAGATTGTCAGTCAGTCAGTAACAAGGTAGAACTTCATACGTACATACATCAGTTCGAGTTGCCATACCACATTAGCACAGAGATGCAGTTTTCGATTCAAATCCCGTAGTGGTAGAGCAAGTAAAAATATAGGCAGTAATCGGACAGATTAGGGTTTGAAGATGTTATTCAAGGAGTATAACCCAGTGAAATAAATTTGGAGAGAAAAAAAAGAAAGGGACATGAAGAATTCAGAAGATTAGAATTTGGGAGAACACAAGGGGTGGATGCACCTGCACCATGTCACTCAGGGTCTCTAACCATCGGTTGCTATCATCTCGCGGTCCCCAAACAGGTAGTCTACACCTACCAACATGACTCAGTCCACTTGTCAGTGACTCCATGGACTTGTGCCATGTCTTGGTCTGGCACCCCCCTCAACTTTCTTACAACCTACTCCTATACCATTGAACATCGCACATCGAGGCAGTCGGCGGTTGGGCGTACGTAACACGTGTCCCAGCCATCTCAACTGATGAAGTTTCACTAATTCATCAATCGATTTGCCATCCTTACCTAGTACCCGCTTCCTAACAACTGCGTTACTTACTCAATGGTCTCAGGATATACGAACAATCTTTCGAAGACACCTATGGTTGAATACTAACAACCTACGAATATCCTCTGCTCTTACCGGTCATGTTTCACAGACATAAAATAGGACCGAACGAACTGCTGTGCAGTAAACCCATCCTTTGGTTGGTAGACGGATATCTCGCCTACGCCATAAATGACGCAAGTTGGCAAAAGCTAGTCGAGCCTTCTGTATTCCTGCTGAGATTTCGTCACACACCAGACCACAAGGGCTGGCGAGACTCCTAAGATAAGTGGAGCGGTCAGCACGCTCAAATACTTCACTCCATACCATTGGTTTGGGTCTTGATGCAACTCTATTCTGAAGCAATATTTTGTATTTCGAGCGGGAGAATCGCATCCCAAACATGCTTGCATTGTTGCTTAGAGTGGTCAGAAGATTCTGTATTTTGTCAGCGTCTTCACCAAATAGAACTATGTCATCGGCACATTATAATTCAACAAGTGAATCTCCCGGTAGAAGTTCAATCCCTGGAAATTTAGATGAGGAAATTTTTTATCTCTATAAGCACGTCAACGACAAAGTCGAACAAGAATGGAGAGAGTGGACAGCCATGACGAACACCGCCTGAGGTAATCAATTCTGATCACAGTTCGCCATAAGCTCTCAGTCAACCATTTGTATTCGAGTGGAGAACCTTTATAAGGTTAATGTACTCCTTTGGTACTACTTTCAGTGACGAACTGCCATAGGATTTTAAGACCATCAGAATGAAACGTTGCCTTAAGGACGATAAATACAACGATATTGGGGTGTCTGAATCTGTGTCTATATTCTAGGACCTGAATTAGTGTGAATATCTGGTCTATACAACCACATCCAGGTCGACAACCAGCCTGGTTTTCTCTAGACGTTAGATTGACCTTGAGAGTGTCCACTTAATAATCATGACCAAATGAGAATAATGAACCTGTGTGAGGAATTAAAATTATGATTTACGGTTGATAATTAAGTTTAAAAATTACATTTAGCTATAATATAAAAACTCTATTTAGACAAATGGGTGAATGAATTTCGCGCTAAACTCTACACCTGATTGGTTCGTCCATAAATTATAGTCTCTCCATAAAATAGACGAAAGGAACGATTGAACGCAGCATAGAAACAAATTACTGTTCAAACAAATGTATCATATTTTACAGAAATGAATTGATTGACGATAATTATAGTCGTATCCAAATAAGAACATGGTGTACATGTGTGCATCGACCCAAGCTGTTACAACTTATGGGCACAGTGATATTGAATTATAAACATGAATACCGAAACATTAATATCAGGGATGGTAAAAAAAACAAAACCTTAAACATAGAGAATATGAATCTGGAAGATCCGATTTGCGGAATAAAAAAGTATGAGCATTTTGAAATGAAAAGTGAATGCACCTGGGTAAGCATTATTAGTTCAAACTTATTTCATCAACAGTCTCTATCCATTAATAATGATAATCATACGGACCTAAACCAAGTAGTCTGAAATTGTCTACACTGCTTAGTTTAACTGAAGACATCATCTTATGAAATACTACAAAAATGATAATCGATTCAACCGGCAAGGGTTATATAGGATTTACCAAATGTTATTAATTGCCACGTTTCGTGGAATAAAATCAACTTTATTTCAGTAACTTAATTGAAGTAGGTCATAGAGATAGTAATTATTAAACAAAACAGAAAGCATTTCTTTTGAAATAACTCAATGTACACTTACCGTGCCCATCAATTGCGAATGAATAACTTGGATCTTGTATTGTATAGGCGCACATACCGGTATCATCACCGTATAAAAAATTATCATTTTCTGTCATATTTATAGCTGATGTGTATGCTGTCACTTTACCAACTTCATGACCTGGTCTATGTAATGAATCTATTTCAAATGCATATTTTGTTTTAGACCAAATTGGTAAATCAGATTGAATATGCTAAAATGTAAACAGTATATTATAAGGAATATATGTGTTTATGTTTTAGTTTGAATAAAGGAAAAGATACCCTCATTCATGCACTGAACTGTATCGATAGTGCTGTCATAGATGTTGGGGAGTTTTTTCAAGAAATCATAAATCCTCTTAAGAAACATCTAAACTTTATTAAAAAAACAACTTGCGAACAATTCTACGAAACTTAAAAATCTATGAGTTATAAATCAGTAGCAGCAGTAAATTGTATTCCCAGGATCCATCAAATCGATACTGACAATATCAAAACAATTCATAAAAGTTGTTCCAGCCAAAAATAAAAGCAAGTGACTGAAGCTTTCGATATGTTGCTAAACACCATTGTGATCAATAAAAAGGAACGTTTAACTATCCAACCAATTCAAACTAGTTTTCTAAGTAAACACACTCAACCTGTTTAAACAGCACACAATTAACACACAAATTAGCTCTACTCTTTTACATTGCAAACACACCATTTTTCTAGATAATGAACAAAATTTGAGGCTTACTTTGATGATTTTGAGCGGAAGATTTTATTTGTAAAGCTTTCACTGTTCTCCAGAACAGGTACATCGACAATAACCAATCAAAATCAAGGTAGACAATACAAGCTATCAGTCATAAGTGGAGTAGCTCGAATAGCTCACTTCTACCTAAAGTTTGTGCTAATAATGTTGTTCACAGTAACGATGGAAAAATTGTTCAATATACACGACTGTTTTAAACATTTTGATTTGTCCCTCTGCATTGTCTAAAATTCTGTTAATTTAGATAGGTTACTTATTCTTCGTAAAAGTGAGTTACCCTAAGTCTCAAAGAGTTCGAAATTCGATTTTCATTCATTAAAATATTACAAATATATTGTTTTCGTATTATAAACAATCGACTCAATGCCCAATTTATATAAGATTATCGAATCAAACATGATTGATAATGTGTAAGAGATGATCAAATATATGTGAATAAATTGTTTAGAAAGTAAAATTTAGCTGCTGAACATATCTCTATACTACTGAATAGATTCTGTCAGTCCGAAAACTTAGCAAGACAGTTGTTTTTTCTTTTAAAAAAAAATTAAACGTCGTAAGAAATGTATTAGCACGATTGTACACGGTATCAAATCCAAAACATAAGAATTTTCCCATCTATATGGTCACAACCTAGTGGTTCACACAAGAGTCGAACTAAGTCTTTTTCTGATGTAGAACGAACTTCATTCTATGCGTTATCTAAGGTGGGTCATTTAACATGTAAACACTTTAAAACTCAGATATAATGTAAGTATGTCTTCATACAGCTGAAGCTTTAGAGAGAGTGGATAATTATGAATGATTATTATATTCAAGCTCATATACCATATGAGTATATGTCGCTTTATAAAGCTACCAGGAAAAAAGCACATATCAAACAACATACTACCAACTAGTTGTAAGTTGAACAGGATTCTAGTGCTACTTACCGAAACAATGTTAAATTCATTTTTGTATTGGTTTTATGAATATTGCATTGATGTTTAGGACTGAAATTGATCAATCTCTTATTTACATATAACTCCGCCTGTAGCTCTTCCAGAGTTACTGCCGGTCCCAAGCCCGGGTAAAGGAGGAGGGTTGGACATGGGGTTAGCGACCAGAAAAAATAATTCAAACCATTTTAACTCTGCCCTGGGAGTTAGAAGGTCTTCAATTAGAAGAATTATGACGCTTCATGGTGAAAGCCGAGTTCCTTCGGAAGCCACGAGGCCGATGCCCCTTCTAACAACCAGAGCAAAAATTTTTATAGGTACATGGAACGTTCGAACAATGTGGGAGACCGGGAAGACCAGTCAAATAGCAACGGAAGTGAGGAGATACAACTTGGCAGTACTGAGAATCAGCGAAACCCATTGGACCCAAGCTGGATAACAAAGGCTAAATACGAGAGATGCTGCTGTACTCCGGTCATGAAGAGGAAAATGCTCCACACACTCAGGGAGTTGCTCTAATGCTGTCCAAAGTAGCACGAAATGAACTTGTATGATGGGAATCTCACGGATCAAGAATCATAAAAGCATCATTCAAAACAAAGAAGAAGGGCATCACAATGAATATTATCCAATGTTATGCACCCACTAATGATAGCAACGACGACATCAAAGGTCAATTCTACGAGCAGCTGCAATCAGTCGTAGAGAAGTGCCCAAGAAAGGACCTAACCATTCTGATGGGAGATCTAAATGCCAAAGTTGGAATAGACAACACCGGAGGTGAAGATATCATGGGACGACATGGATTGACTGGGAGAGAGAAACGAAAATGGGGAAAGATTTGCAAATCTATGTGCATTCAACAAATTGGTCATAGGAGGTATAATATTTGCACACAAGCGTATACACAAGGCTACATGGATCTCACCGGACCACACTACAGAGATCCAGATAGATCATATCTCCATCAATAAAAAGTTCCGAAGGACAATGGAAGATGTGAGGAACAAGAGAGAAGCTGATATAGCTTAAGAGCACCACCTAGTTGTGGCCAATTTAAAACTGAAGCTAAAAAGGAACTGGACAACTGGACAAACAGCATTACAAAGGTTCAATACAGCCTTCCTTCGAGATACTGACAAACTCAATGAATTCAAGATAGCACTCAACAACAGGTTTCAAGCCTTACAGGATCTACTGAAGGAAGAAGAAACTACTATGGTGGATAACTGGAAAGGTATCAAAGAAGCATTAATTTCAACGTGTCAAGAGGTTCTGGATCTAAAGAAGCACCATCATAAGGAATGGATCTCTACAGAAACACTGGACAAGATCAAAGAAAGGAAGAACAAGAAGACAGCAATTAACAACAGTCGAACACAAGCAGAGAAAGTTCAAGCATAGGCTGAATACATAGAAGCCAACAAGCAAGTGAAGAAAAGCATTAGAGCCGACAAGAAGAAATACGTGGAAGAACAAGCAACGACGGCAGAAAAAGCTGCAAGGGAAGGAAATAAGAAACAGCTTTACGATACAACGAAGAAACTAGCAGGGAAGTATAGTAAACCAGAGAGACCGGTCAAAGACAAAGAACACAGGGCAATCACTGAAATTCAACAACAGCGGAACAGATGAGTAGAATACTTCGAGGAACTCCCGAATAAGCCGGCTCCAATGAATCCACCGGACATCGAAGCAGCGCACACAGATCTTCCTATAGATGTCAACCCACCAACGACGGAAGAAATTAGAATGGCCGTCAGACAAATCAAGAACGGGAAAGCAGCAGGACCCGACAATATACCAGCTGAAGCACTGAAAGGATCAATAGGAACTGGAAGGAGCTGGAAAGGATTGTCCAGGACAGGGTTGGATGGAGAATGCTGGTGAGCGGCCTATGCTCCTTCACGAGGAGTAACAGGCGTAAGTAAGTAAGTTATTCATATATATAGGCATCCTGTACGGGTTGCCTCGATTACTGTCTTAAATTAAAAGCATTATAAGAAAAGATGGATGGTGGATAGCATTGAAATCCAGGATATGCGTTTACTCATATTTGAGACTGGTCATCTGGATGTACCTGCATCCCAGAGTTAATGTTCAATCTAAGATGCAGGTTCATCTAGCTAACGAGTCCCAAGTAGGATGGAAAGTGCATTTTGGATTCCACTGCTAGTCACTATTCATTGCTGCGTATAATAAATGCTTGATTCAGATCATGCAGTCAAACTTGAACAAAGTCTTTTCGTATTTATGCTTCACATGTTACCATTACGTAACACTAAATTGGTTTTTTGACAAGGTTAAAATAGTTTCATTTATTGAAATATTTTTGTTTTTACATGCTCCCTACATTATTCTGTTTTTACCTCCATCGATTTACTATTCGGCTACAATTATGAGTAATTGTAGGACCTCAGTAACTCTTATCGTTAACTCATCAATCATCGTCGTTAGATGAATATATGGACATAGATACACACTTATAATATATACGGAAGTAAACCTGGAAAAGGATTCGATTAGAAATAGAACTATTTGGCTTACGCAACTTTTCATGAATTTTATCCATGCATAAAGCTATGCAACGTTACATCACTTGTCGTCATGTACCTTATTTCTCAGTAAAAAAAATCTACTAACATTGAATTTGAAAATACATTCATGCGCATTTATAAAATTAAACTTAAAGAACTGCTCACTTCAAATGTAATTGGCCAAGATTTTGTCGACTTTGTTGGATGAGAACAGTCTTCAGCTATTATTTTCAAATGATAAAATCCTGTTCTAGCTTCTAAACTACCCAAACTTTTAGCATGACGATATGATGTTTCATTGAAAGTTAAATAACCATATCCTTTCTCTTGGTTTAAAACATTACCATGAATAAAGTTAGGAACACTATTTCTGCCAGATGATAGTAATGAGATGGAACATAGTTTTGAATCTATTTATTGTAAAAATAAAAAATAGTTAACACAGTTCACATATTCGTTCTTCAAATTTATAAAATAATGATGGTTATAGTTTTTCACATGGAATTGAGATAAAACATTGAGTAATAAAACAAGACAGTCAAAATTTTCAACTAAGTAATCACAGGTTAAGACCCCACTCCATCTAATTCAATACAAGTATCTGTATCATAGCGCTATTTAACAGATAAAAAATATTGACTGAAACTGAGTACACAATATTTTGCGTAGAGATGGAATTAAGATAAACCCAAGTTATAACTATCAAATTATCTACAGGTCAATATATGTAGATAGCAAGAAGCTAGTTTATTTGGTTTTTAATATGTTAAAAATTTTATTGCTTTTACTATTTGTGTAGAGTTTTAAAGAAGTAATATTAACCTGTACTGTGGTGCGTACAGCCTTCCCATTTTTAGTAAAGAGGAATTTTAAATAAAGGGGTGCATTTAGAAATCTAAAATACTTTAAAGAAGAGTATATTTTCATCGTTCTGTTATTTGTAGAAACATAAATAAATAAAATTGGCTAGTAAGTCATATGAATCGCAGAACCTGACTTATTCGCAAGTTGTTACATCCCATTACAACAGTGAGATAAAATTATTTCTAAACAAATCACATAGTAGAAATAGTAACGATATCAGTAGCCATAGAAAACACTAAGAATAGAAATAGGAAGAAAGGTAGGAGATTTTGGAACTCAGGTTTTAGAGAATGACATAGAGTGAATGCACATATGCCATTGAGAACAACGGTGGGCTATTATAAGCAAAGATGGTGGTGGCTAGCAGTAGTATCGAGGACGCAAGTTTATTCCTGTTTGGGAGTGGTCACCTGTGTGTACCTATATCCCACAATTGATGTTCACTCAGAAACTCCAGCCCAGTACCGTCCACTTCAAACGTCATAACGTTATTCACTTAGTTACTGAGTCCAGATAGCCACTAGCTTATGCAACGGGGTCTGGACTCAGTAGCTAAGTGAATAACGTCATGGCGTTTGATGTGAACAATACTGTAGTGGAGTCCCTGAGTTAACATCAGCTGTGAGATGCCCGTATGTCAATAAGAGACTGTTCAATTGCAGTCCTAAACATTAATGAGAAAATTCAGATAACAACTGCAAAAATGGATTGTTAGCTATATCGCTTCAAAGTTACTAACTACTTGTTACAATAATCAAGGAAAACAAAGATATCTACGGGATATTTAGGTACTTGTGTAGCTAAAAAAATGGGAGAAAGAACAAAAATTAGAAGACAAAAATTAAGAGGAAAATATGCTTAGTGAATTGACTTGTGGTATTTTGTTCGGCTTTACTTCCTGTACGTTGAATTTTCCATGATAATTCATGTGGCTAAATAATTAAGTTAGTCATAACCGATGTTGGACTTGAAAATGACGTGAGCCAGTTCAAGTTGTCACACCCGTTGTCACAGAGGTATCAAATTACAAAACGAGTCATAATAACAGAAGTATTAGAGATAATCAGAAAGACTGAGGATAAAGAATATGACTGAAGGATGATTTGCAGTAAAAGGTTTGAAATTTCCAATATTGAAGTGTTGGATAATTATCATTCTGTAGATCCAAATCAGGTTGGAAATGTGAATTATAAGATACTGATTAAGTATTCCAGAAGTAACACGTACCGTGAGAGGTTTGGAGGTTACGTCTACTTCCCATGATAGGATGGCACTGGATGTGCTAATAGAAAATCTCACTGCAGAACAGAACAGCTATCGATTTGTTTCATCAATTTCTTAACTAATTTCTATCCGTATATTGGCATCTACGTTCAATACGGCTATAATTATCAAAGTAGGAAGAGATAGTTATTCAGTCTACCATGTTTCATAGCATTTATCTATCTTATGAAAAAAGTATTCAATATCTTGGATCAGAATTTAAATTATATCATATTTCAATGCTTGAAATCGAGTTTAAATGCTTTATAAAAATGCAAAAACGATATGTTCCCATAAACCCTGAACTGTTTTAACATGTTCTAGGTTATTGTTATAATCCAAACAGTGATGAGGTTATGGATTCAGTCATTATTTCAAAATGAGTGATTAGTTTTACAGCTATACACATTTGGTTAAAATAAAAGAATGATGATGTAATAGAACTATTTATGAGTGAACTGAGTCTTATGTTGAAAAATAAAAATTTCTAAGTGTCAAATATCAGAGGTTATCAAGTTAAACCAACCACAGATGAGGTGCAACTAACTAAGATATAACAATATATTTTAGATGCGTCGTTTGTAAAGGTTACTCAAAACCCAAAAATGGCCATTAATAAATACGTATGTTCATTAATGCCATGTGACTGAAAGACCTAGAGGTTCAATTTTGGAGGAGTCCTGACAGGATGTTTCCGAAGCCATGAGGTGGGAGAAAACAGTTGTTCACTGCCCACTGACTTTCAATAGTTAACAAGCTAACGTCAATAAGCAGTATAAATAACTAAAACATAATGATTTAGACCGTTTACATTTGGCGACACGTATGGATTTATTTTAAAAAAGCGCAAGTAAGAAAACAAACACAGTTCGGTCATCTAATGTGCGGCTCAAAATCAAAATTGAGCAGGTTTTACTCATTACTTTGCACGTAACAACCTGTCACCATGAAGTCATGCTTCCTGATATAAGTCCGAAATTACACAAAGAAGATGCATTGCTGTGAGTTTAGAAGATTAATTGATAAAAGATGAGTTCAAAAAGTATGTAGTTATGTTAAATTTTAATGTTCCGTATTTGAAGTTATTAGTCTTTCATTCATATCTTACAAGTTAAAAGGCCTTTTTCTTTCCAAATATGAACGAAGAAATTTTAAATGCTTTTGGCATCGACTAGGTCTATGAAGAACAGATTGAGAAATAACCAAATCTGTAATGAAAACCCCATCGCTAATTAAGTGACCACTAAATTACTCAGGGATTTTAACATCGGTAAGTTTGCGCTGATGCCAAACGAATAAATAAAATCGCCACAAGTTGAACTGCATTTTTCTGTCAGATTTCTGCGCAAATCAAAGATTTTTTAACGTTTGCGTTCTACTGAGACGAAATGCGGTATATTTACTGTTTGCAGCCTAAATATCTTCATGAGCCAAAATTACAAAGTTTACTATATGGTTGATTCTGGTGAATAGGCGAGATATCATTTCTAAATATTACATACGATGAGACACTTGGGGTAATACTTTACAGCCATGACATGATGTAAAATAAGCTAATTTCATTGATACATTTTACTTGACTAGTCGCTTTTATAACACTGCAGAAAATATTCTCAGCAACCAACTTGCGCTACTTATCGAAAAATAAATGAAAATCGAAAGCAGATTCAAGGAAAAAACACATTAGTTGAAAATTTTAAGTTTTCAGTCAGTGCAAAGAGTGAGATTTATAAGGCGAGATGGCGATAGGATAAACATATGTATTTGATAGAAAGTTGGTATTCAGCAAGATGAATTTATTGATAGGTTTTTTTCAACTTTTCTACTTTTTCGCATTCATTTAAGCGTTGATGGATGTGCACATTGTACAGTGCTTTTAAATGATCACCTGAGGATATTTTATTATTTTGTTGAAATGAATAACGAACCTCTAAACTTTTGACACATCCAGTCTCACAGTTAGAAGACAGTTTATAATATGATGTAAAGGATGAGTTACTCATCACCATATTCCATATGACTTCTAAACAAATCTTTTTCTAATTCAAGCTTGTAGTTATTTATTTAATTTCAACATGATATCATGTTCCATTCTGGTGGCTCAAATTCGCGCACAGAATAACATTTAGAATTCGATGACTACGAATAAATTAGTCGAACGAATACTAAATATTACATTATTTGAAAATAAATAAATGCAAGCGTTAAATAAAAATTTGGTTAGCTTCTGAAACTTCGATTGAAAGTCTCGATACGGAATTAAATATAAAAGCTTAAAGTTTGTGTTTAAACGTACCATTAGTTAGTTTAACTTGAATTGACGGAAATACTTGTATATTATGTGCTTTTTCATTCACATACGCATGAAAAACTTCCCTTGAATTACGTGGGAAATTCCAAAACAGTTCACATTGCACGAATATTACTGCGCAAAGTTGTGTGTTATAAGTCATTTGCATTACTTACATAAGTGAAGTAAATTTAAGAACGTCAAACGACACTTCATCCTACTCCGTCGTAGTTCCCGCGTACACTTAATGTAGCGTACCCAGCAACTGTTGAAGGATGAGAACATTCAAAGACAAAGTAATGATGTTCACATTGACCGAGTATCCATAGAAAAAAGGATCACTGTATGGTGAGTTCTTTTTCGTTCAGAAACTAGACTCTATACTATACTGGCATTATTGAAACGACACTTAAATGATTTTTCTGTTTCAAACTCTCAGAAATTCCGCTGGTCCTCGTCGAGTAGGATTGACTGAATGCAGTTCAGATGAGCATATTTTTTATTTGGAAATGGACACTCACAGAATAATTTTTAAGAAATAGCTGCTCTATCATGCCATAGACCTAATGGAAATTAATGGACACTCGAAATTCAAAAATTTGGAAACCCAAATTAGACCTCTGTAGAGGTTCACGCCCATCACTCAAGTGTTCTTGGACCACCAAAAACTTTACCCGAAATTCTGTCTGCCAAACAATGCCAGAAACCACTTCCCCTGATTTGGGAAATCCATTGAGTCGTTTATCAGACCTAAACATGCTGTGACAATCCACTCACGATGAAGTGTCAACATGTAAAACCAAAACCATGAGCACAGCACAAAAGACGGATAATTAACTTACATGGTGTCGAATAGTGTTCTATGTGTGTATTGAAGTGTACGTTTGTGAGAGAGATCCATTGCAGTATATGCTTACAGATTCATATCTTGAGAATACTTTGTAGTTGGAGTCCAGTTGCGGTTGACTATAATCACCACTTCACATAGATTACGTGCCAGTTACCAGATTAGACCCCTCCGTAGACCAAATACCAGAAAGCAGTTGAAAGTTTAAGCTAAGATTTATTTGTTGGCGATCTCATGGTATCGAAATAATATCCATATCGTTCGAAAATCTACAAGCGAGACTAATGAGCGTACGAGAATTCTTGCAAGGTCCCAAACAACACAAGGGTGTTTTTTCGTTACACCTCAGCAAACAGGTACAGTGAAACAATCACTGGTACAGTAGGTTACAATAATAATTGTTTCAATCATACCAATCACGTTCCCTTCAAAAATGTGAGTCGCCTCAAGCTCTAGCGAAGAATAAGTCCAGTTTATCGGGAATTACTTTTTACGGTTCATAAAAAAGAACCGAAGTACATAAAATCGGCTCTTGATCCTCTACTCAATAGAATACGAGGTTTTATTATTAAGGTCGGGAACAGGATAACGTTGATTGGGAGTTTCGCGAATTGTTTCTGAGTCGTGAGTCTTTATGGATTTATGATAATCGTTTGATGTATGGCAATCGTGTTTTCGCACCTAAATCTCTGCAGTTGTTTGTGCTTAAAGCGTTTCGTATTGGTCATCCGGGAATGAACAGAATGATGGCAATTATGCATAGTTATGTCTACTGGTCATTCACGGATAAGGATATGAATGAACGCGTATTGAGATGTTGTTTATGTCCCGAAGGTGCAAACGATCCACCGAAAGTAGAATCCCAGCCATGAACAGAAGCGAACAAGCCTTGGATTCGAGTACACATCGATTATGCTGAACCAATACACGGACAATGTTTTTTGGTGCTGGTAAATTTATACTCCAAAAGGCCTGAAATCTATGTTATGCGAAGACCGTCTACATCTGAAACACTTTGACACTTCAGACTACTATTTGGTAGGTCTGGAACACCTAATGTTTTAGTTTCAAATAACGGAACGCGACTTACGTCGCCAGAGTTTACGTAGTTTTGCAAAGAAAATGTGATCTAACATACTAGAACTCCGCCGTATCCCCCTCAGTTAACTGGGCAAGCTACGAAATTTGTTGATATTCTTAAGCAAGCTTTTTTCAAGTCGGAACGTGAAAAGAAAGTAGAAGAATCCCTGCAGTAGTTCCCAATCTCCTACAGAATTACACTCACTTCATATTTTCAAGACCGGGAACCACTAGCCGAAATAATGTTTTGCCGACGAATTAGGACATTTTTGATGTTTTGAACCCGAAAGACAGAAAGAACGGACTACAAAAAATAAGAAAGAGAATTACCCGAAGATTCGAAACTTCGTTTATGTTTGTAATTTCCGGCCAGGAAAGCCATTATGGATATTTGGGTGTATAAAAAAGATGTGGTATGTTATTGTATGAAATCATGGTTGAAAATACACTAATTATCAGACACACAACCTAACTGTGAAATAGAGAAAATTTAGGTGAGCCATGTCTAGCTAAACCTTTGCTAATGGAAATATATGATACCTTTAATTACCTACTACCCACACCACAAGTTGAAATGAAAAAACATGAGCGGAAATCGGAAGTCAGCCGTAGGTTATCAAGAGAACGGAATCGAACGAGATTTTTTCAAATAGATCCAAATGTGAAGTCATACGATCAAACATCGCAGGGGTGGTGATGTGTGTGTAGGATTCGAACTAAGGTTTGGACTGAAAAATAACTGTCCAGGTGGGTTGGATATGCACCCTTACCCAGTTGAAACTAAAACAAAGTGATTGGGTAAAATGACGGTTCCAAAATTCATCATAAATTTTAACGTACACTGTTACCTAATCAAATATTACAACCCAGCTATCCAACCAATAATTGTTCAATCAATCAAATCTAAATTACAATAAATGAGAAAGTTGATAAAGGATGTGAGAAAATTACCAATCGCAACGAACAAGTGTTATCCCATCCTGTCTAGATAGAGCACGCACCGATTCGTTCAAAAGATAATATTTGATTGCTTTATAACACAGAGTGCTTCCAATTCTGGAGGGGTGCTTCAATTCACTTTCAAAAATGCACAATTTCAGTCAATCGAAACAGCACAATGAAAAGGAGGAATAAACCAACATTGGCTGCCGTCAAGACTAAGCATCAAGTGAGACAACATAAATGCAGATCAGGAAGAAACATCGAAACTTAGTGAAGGCGTAAGAAAATAAAAACTATAATAAAATGCAAATGTTGCCAACTCAAATGCAGTGAAATAGACTAACAAAATGTACAACTAAGGGAATCAATAGGAATCGACTGCAAGTGCTTACATGTAAGGATTTTTACACACAGAACATTCGAAATGGATCCTCCAGTGTGGACGAGAATGATAATTATCAGTTGTCTGCTTAGTCACGCTTGTAGACAGTCCGAAAGACGTTTAATGAGTGATATATTCTCCTATCATTGTTATTATTGATTGTTGATGGCTGTTGGATTGTGTCGATGGTTGAGCATTGCTCACCGCCTACGCACCTATTCATTCCGCTAGCTTCGGTGTTAGTCGCCAAAATGATTTGATAACACATTCAATGTCCCAAATATATGTATGTATTAATGATGTTCATGGACTTACTCGCTTGCTTGTTCTTTGACACTTGCATATCATTCTTGCTTTGTGTGCTTGCAATTGTGCGGATTTATGTGCGGTGCAATAATAAACATAATCAACACTTCATATTCGTCTTCTGACTTTAATACCGTTGAGCGTTGTCAAGTAAAGGTTATCAGGACGGGCAGTATACGAAATTTAAGAATTATATCGAATGTCGACCACCACAGGTTTTTTTATATTAAAGCCAATTAAAAATATAAAGTTACTTAATAGTGTTCACTGTTCATGTATTAATCTCCAAGTTCAGTGAAATGACACTGGGCTTTAACCAATCACCTGATAGTCCGGTCACCAAATATCGAACAGTCTACCGATCCTAGTCAAGGTGAAGGACAACCAAAGTGCATCATCTGATTACACGCTATGAAATGGCCATTGAGGGAGTGGTCTTTCTCTGTCTCTTACACCTACAATTACCACCATATTTCTGTAATAACGCCGTTTGTGTTGTACGTCTCCAAAGGAGTCATGGTACTAGGATACGAAGAAAGGGTGATCGAAGTTAAGTACTAACCGTGAAGTGTGACTTCGACGCCTTTTAAACCTAGATAGAAAAGACACCGGATCATCAGAGACCGGTCATCCATGTTGGTGATCTACGAGTCTGTGTTATATGTATTGATTATTAAAAGCTTAGAAAATTATCGAATACTATAATGTATTGAATTATTTGAATTGTGTTATTAACTAGGAATCCCAGAATTAACGCAACTGAATCAAGAACTACGACACAAGTACAAACGAATGTATTGTATTTAGAATTCGAAATCGAGCATTCAACAAGTACAATAGAATAATTAGTTAATTCAAACACCACATCCGCCACAGCTTAAATAGGAGTATAAGTGTTTGTAATCGGTTGTACATCTTTTTATGTTCATCCTGAGTCTGTCCGACATTTTATTAGATGAAAACTTTGTAGTATCTAGAATGTGCTCATTAGTATTGGAATTAACAAACGAAATTGGAACAAACTCATCGGGAATTGTATACAGTCAGCATGTCGGTTTTGTAATGAAATCATTAATATCTAGAATTCGAACCATAGATTTTTCAACACTATCCTCCCCCACGAAATAATGTTGGATCTTTATATCCTCAAGTTATTAATAATGTGGCTTCATTTAAAAAATATTTCTCACATTGTTTAAAGTAAACATCAGAACTGTTTTTGTGATAAGGGTAAACAGGAGTTGGTGTGAAATCATCCGAAATGTAACCAAACTCGAGGTCACTTAGTACTCGTGCTTCGCATTGAACAGGTTTTTCACAAGGATCAAATACATTATGAGGAGAGGTAATATATGATATGACATCAGGATTTGATTCTTCTGAAATATTCTCATGAAATTCATTTGGACTGTCATTGCGGAGCGTGGGATCGTTAGAAAAATCAGCATCTATCCAAATCACATCAGGTTTCCGATCATGATTAGGATTGTGGTGGTTCCCAAACAAAAAGATCTTACACAAAATATATTGATACACTAGGTTAATACCAAAAAGATTAATAGTAAAGAAACCAAGATGTCTGTCCGTTAGTAAAATCAAAGGTAACAAAATACCGTTAGAAATACAAAAGGTATATTAAACAAACGGACACTAACAGTTACAATAGAATGAATGTTACTTGTGAATTGCCTCGTGAGAACAACGACCACAAACTGAGTTCACTTGATT